GCTTTGAGGGTTTGTGAGTAGTTGGCCCTAACCTTCCCTCAATCTCTTTGTCAGCAGGGACTCAAGCACCTGCCACAGACTCAACTTGCAAACAAGCAGAATAATAAAGGCTTGTGTCTGCCCTTTAAATATCCACCCCTCCCATTCACTTCTGTGTACTGGGGACCTGAGTAAGGGACCTGGAGCATTCTTCGAGATATCTTGAGGCATGGCATAATGTCTACGCTTCAGCTTGGATGTTTCTAAGGATAGCCACACATATGTCGAAAAGAGGGACTACAGGGAGACAAAGAAAACTGTCTACTGGTATCCACGTTACCTGGGGCTTCCTATTAAACAGAGTAAAAGTGAATCCCCAAACTAGGATTTATCGAAGGGTCAAACTCCTCAGGGATCCTTATATTTCCCAGTTGTAGATTTGACACCTGTCCACTTTTAAGCTCCAAGAAAAGTTCAGCATGGGCTCAAGTCCACTCCGCCCATCCCTACCATACACACACACCCAGCCTTTAAAGCTCACAGCAGCTGGCAGGCGCTTCAAACTACTAAGTCCAGGGCATTCCCTGGGGCTTACAACATGAGTAAGAAAGTATCTAGAGCCTCAGGAGCCAATTCCTGGACGGCTTTCTGGGGCCTCTGGGAGTCTAGTTACACGGCAGACTGTAGATCACTGATACGGAAGCACATACATGGGGTTGACATTTTGGGGGTAGCCTTAGGATGGTTCGAGGCCAACCTGAAAATGTCTCCAACTACTGTTGTCAAAGGACCTGGAGACTGAGGCTTGGAGCTTGGGAGAAGCAGAGTAAAAAAATCTTACTTCCAATAGTTTTATTATTCATAAAACCCTCTAAGATTCATTGAGAAAAAAGGCAAGGGGTAGAGTAGGAGTTTAGCTACAAGGGGTAGAAGTTAGTTGGCAGAGGTGCTGACTGTAGGGTGTAGGTGGGGGATAAACAGGTTTTGCAGGGAGAATTGAAGTATTGCTTCATCAAAGGAGGCATATTTGAGAAGTTTTGGGGTCCCAGTATGCACATTTCTCTGGCTTGCCTACAAATGAGTGGGGATAGGTCTAGGTCAGTTTTGGAATCTACTAGAGAGGAAACCCACGCATGGCACAGAAAATTCCCATTCTTGATTGCATTCTTCTCCCTAGTCTTGAAGGATTTAATCTTAGACTCAAGATCCTTCAGTCTCTATTCACAGTGGGCCTGCATGAATCATCTCTTTATGGTATACAATTGTCCTCGTAAGTGAATTTAGAAACAACTATTTCTCTTAAAAACAAAAAAGCAAAACAAGCAAAAAACAACTTAGTACCATAGAGAATGAAAGAAGATGAGGGAGAAAATGAATTTCCCATGCTACCTAAATGCCATAAAAGACCCGCAGGAGATGGCAGGGTTAGGATTTTCTAAAGAGCAAACAATAATCTAATAATCTGCCTTACTGATTCTGTGAATATAATTTCATAAAATATTTGTTAAGCACCTATATAATGCATTGGAGTCCCTGAGTGGGGCAAATGGTTAAGCACTAGGCTGCTAACTAGAAAGCTGGAGATTTTAGTTCACCCAGAGGTGCCTCAGAAGAAAGGCCTGGCGATCTACTGCTATAACATTAGTCACTGAAAACCCTATGGAGCACATTCTACTCTGACACACATGGGGTCTCCATGAGTTGGAATTGAAGGCAACTGGTTTGGGCTTTTGTTTTTGTTTTGCATAATGCACTAGTCACAGATAAGCACTGAGGATGAAGAGGTGACTAAGCGAAGTCCCTATCTTTAAGAAGCTCACAGTGTATGGAAGAAAACACTTAGATTAGAATACAATGGCAAGCCCACTGAGTTTGGGTGTGGGGTAGCCTGGCCCATTGAGAATAATGCCCCTAAGTACAGGAGTATGGCTCTTTGCTGACAATGGACCTGTCTGGGATCAGATGCACTTCTGGTCCTCCATTCAAACTATAAGTTTAGGCGTAGAAAAGGGTGCAGTTGAGCTCCACAGTGGATTCAGAATACAGCTGCTAAATCTAACTAGAGTTCTTTTGGCACTGCTAACTGGGCTGGATGCTGCCTGGAGGCCAAAGGCTGCCAAATCCAGATTGAAGACATTGCCTTTTGAAAGAAAAATAGCTATAATGAAAATAGCGTATGTCTTACATAAACTCTCAGCAATATAACACACACATTACCTTTAAATAGGACCTCTAGTATTTTTGTAACATATGGACTGTCACACTGACTTAAAACAGCTATTTCTTGCTATGTGTCTTTTATCTTGTTTCCACGAGCTTTATAAATTTAATAGCATCCATTTGACTCTGTTCAATGATGAATTTCTTTTAAAACTTCTCCAAAAGAACCTTTCTCCCCTCATCCATTGTTGATGGGATTGTAAAATGGTACAGCCACTGTGGAAAAGAGTTTGGTGGTTCCCTAAAAAGTTAAATATAGAATTACCATATGATCCAGCAATTCCACTCCTAGGCATATACCCAAAAGAACTGGAAGCAGGGATTCAAACAGATACTTATACACCAATGTTCACTGCAGCATTACTCACAATAGCCAAAAGGTGGAAACAACCCAAGTGCCCATCAACAGATGAATGGATAAATAGTGGTGCATACATACAATGGAATATTACTCAGCCATAAAGAGATATGAAGTTATGATACATGCTCCATGGATGAACTTTGAAAACATTACGCTGAGTGAAATAAGTCAGACACAAAAGGCCAAATATTGTGTGATCCCACTTATATGAAATACCCAGAATAGGTAAATGCATAGAGACCAAAGTTTATTAGTGGTTACCAGGGGATGGGGGAAGGGGAAATGGGTAGTATTGCTTAAAGGGTACAGAGTTTTTAAGGGTGACGAAAAAATTTAGAAATGGATAATGGTGATTGCTGCATAACACGGTGAATGTAATTAATGCCACTGAATTGTACACATGAAAACGGCTGAAGTGGCAATTTTTAAAAAAAATTCCACCACAGTTTTTTAAAAATTGGTTATCAAGGATTAGATATCAGTACCATTAACATTTAGCCAAAGTTCAAATATACGTAAAGTTTATCCATACACTTAAAAATCAGTTTAAGGATTTCACCCAAAAAAATATTAAAATCTGATGACTGCTCAGTTTGAATATGGAGACCACTCATGTGTTAATCTAGGACATAATACATTTTTATTCTTTTCTCAAACAACAGACACTTACTGCTTTTCCTTGTGAGTCAAGTCTGATACATTCTGTACTTTGACTAGCGATGCAATGTTACTGTGAATATTTAAATGTTACATCAGAATTTAAAATTTTCTAGTCTTATATTTAGTTCTTTCTCATCAAACAGATAAATAAATCAAGTACTATTTTACATGAAATGAAATAATAATCATTCTCAAACAATGATAACAACCAGTAACAGAATTCTGAACTAAAATGTAGTATCATACTTTTTTTCTGTATGTCTTCTTTTGACATTTAATTAATTTGTCACATTAATGTGAGCTTTTCTATCATGTTCTCCAGTGTTGTTTTCATAATAATTTTGGGCCTTCTGCTAAGTAAATATAGGGTCGCTATGAGTCAGAATCAACTCGATGGCAACGGGTTTGGTTTTCCGGGTTTTTGCTAATATCAGTAAATACTTCCCCTCCCCCCCAAAAGAGAAATTTTCACAACATTTTAATCATTTGACCTTGCCTTTAGGAACTTAAGTCACAGCTTTCCTGAGGCTTGGTTTCATCAACTATAAAATGGGGACAATAAAGTCCAAAACACCAGATAGTTGTAAGGCTTAAATGAGATAAATATATGTGAAAGCAGGAACTATTTCAAAAGCTGTCGGTGCTTTAAATCTGAACCAGAAGTCATACAACCTTGTATCTTGATCCCAAGATGCTGTATCCTGGAGGAGTGTGAAGACTAGAGAAATCTTCTCCCGGCATAAGAATAACACGAAGAGGACAGAGAAGGGGAGATGAAGGTGATTTGCCTGTGACACAGTACCCTACCGCTATCTAAGGCTGATGCGCCATCAGGCTAGTTCCCCTTAGCTCTTACACTGCCCCATCCTCTCATCTCTTTCATGCTCATTATTTCTCTCTGTTATTCACTTGGTTAAAAATTTGACCTTAGTGGATGAAGGCATACTACTCTTTCAGTGGAAAGGGGGCGGGGGTTGAAATCATAAGTGCTTTCATTGTAGAAAAGGGTTTTTGGGCTGCAAGGACAGCATCTAGTACCAGCATATATGGGGTGTTTGAAGCCCAACTAAAGACCAATAATCGATGGTAATAAACAATAAAATAATATTTTCTATATGTTATGACACAGGTACATAAACCTGACCATTCTTTTACAGAAATTTAAAAAACATCCAGTCCACATGCATTCTGACACTTAGAACTGCCCAACTTCTAATCAAAGATTGATTATGAAATGGTTTTAAAACATTGAGCTTAAAAAATCTGTTCAGTTCAATAATTTAAAAATATTGAGTTAGGCAGTGAATTACAGTGATTAGCAAAAATTTCCGCTGGAAAAACAAAGTGATAATTGTGCTGAATTTTCTTAATCCATTAAGGATTTAATTATATTGCTTCATACTGCCTGAAATCTCCTACACATACACAATCCCCAGCCAACAAATTTGCAGTTGGGCCACTTTCTGCATATGGGAAAAGTCATATACATTATTCTTTTTCTACCCATTATCTATAACTTCTAATTTTTATAAGTTATGCAAATACTCTAAATGTCACTACACTTTAGAACACAGCTCATTGCCCTCCACCCCCACATATGCCAGGACAGTGACTGTGAAAACAAATGAACATTTTTCAACTTCTGTTTAAACATGTACTGCAATACACATTATCATTTTGATAAAAACGAATATATTTCAGCTATAGGAAAGAGATTTATAAGTTAGCAAACCTACTACAAGAAGCAATATACCAAATAAGTTAAAAAAAAAAACCAACCTCAGTAATACAGATGTCTATTTTATTAAAAAAGTTACAAACAGGTGGACTGCAGGGTTGTCTTACAAAATGACAAGAATGTAATCTATTGGAAAAATTTTACAAATTTGTATAGGTCATTGTTCAATGTTTGCACTTATTCCAGATTTTACCTTTTACTGATAAAGTTACAGTACATTAGATCCATGAATAGGTTACAGGATTTTTATTTGCAGAGCCCTACTGCAGTGATTTGAACAACTCCTAAATAGATGCCATAGTAAAGACAAGACATATATTGCATTTAATATTAATTTATTCTCCTAATAAGCAACTTGACATGCAATCTATTGAGGAAGCTAAAATAACTTTTGGTCCCTTTTCTTAAAATGTGCTGGAGAAACCACCTTTAAATCACTTCCCCCTGATTCCTGTCATCCTAAGCGAATTCAAGTTAAATTTGCTGCTGAGGTCAATGACAACGAACACTGTAATTTCTTTTGCGAGAGAGAGTGAGTAAGAGAGAAAACTACCCATAGGAAAGAAATACTGTATACAAAAACAATAATCTGCAGAGAATTGAAATCATCATGAATTATTTGATTCCTTTATAATTTCACACAGCTAATAAAGATGAACCACAATCACTTAACCGACTTTGAATTGAGCGTTTGGTTTTAAGTTTGGTATGAAGGTGCAAACTTAAATTAGGTACTCATTTCAAGCAGTTTATTAACAAGGAACAATGTTTCAACTGTCTTCACAGTTACAGTCTCACCATAAAATTCAGAATCGAAAAACATGATTTCACTTTGAGGGAATTTGATCAGGAATCAAATGCAACGCGATTTTAAAAAAGGAAATTAAAGTTTAATCAATTTCTACTCAATAATTAATGGTCATGCCGACCAATCAATCACATGAATGTAGCTATCACTTTATTGGAACATCACACACAATACAAATTTAAAATTGCCACACCCTTCCATAAACCATCACTGCATATATTAGAGCTTTCCTTGACAAAGTTATTGAGCTATTATTATAGATCAAAACTATAGTTTTGGTTTTTTGTTTGTTTTGTTTTATTTAGAAGCATGTTCAAATAACTAAAGCTGGGCTCCTAAAATCAAGAACTTTGGTGCAGTAGGTGAGCTGCAATTACTAACTTCTGCAAATTAAAAGCACACAACTAAAACCAAAGAGAAACCCAACAACAAAATACTGTCAAACTTACAAAATTTAAAATCATTGCTAGAAAAAGCGCCCGTTGTCATGATGTTAAAACTGAACCAAAAGACTACTGTCTGTAAGTTTTCTTTCTGCTTCTATACCTGTGTTACTGTTAAAATGTTCAAGTATTCAGACAAAATGTGCTGATTAGGTAAACAACATGGAAGGCAATGGCTATTAGAAGCACATCTGCAAAAACAAAAACAAAAAAAGCCCAGAGACAGCACTATTCTCCCTCCTGTTACACAGATTTTGTCTCTACTACGAACATGCTTCTTGGAAAATAACTAAAAAGCAATTGTGATAGTGCAAGAAAATGTTAACAAATATTGCTTTAAACTAGTATTCAGAAAGACAAATATTAAGAACTAGAAAGTGTGTATGATTTTATTTGAATTCAATTTACATGTGCAGAGGTCTACTCGATGTCAATTACAAGCCTGACAGGCAAAGCCGAGCTATCTCTGTTTAGGTATACAATTAATTTACCATGGACACAATATCCCTTTTCAAAGGCATTGCTAAGTAGGTCATAACTAAATTTAGAACTCCACAGAAAGGAAAATGTTACTGCTGCAATTTGATGCTGTAAATGAGATTAAAACATGTGAAAACCTAATGGAATTGAATGCTTAACTCTTCAGCTAAACGCTCTACAGTCTATTTCAAATACCAATTGTAACTTTCAGTACATGTTAGTTACAAAAACATATCACAAACTGCACTTGATGAAAAGGGATATTGCATCCATACAGGCAAAAATGTGATCTTTAGTTTCTTTTTACAACACTGCCACACGTAAACAAAGTCTCAAAGTATTAACCAACCATTTAAGGAGAAAGATTTTACAAATAGAATGAAGCACTGGTGCGAGGTAATATACAGAAGTAACCATTTGTTTAAGGCTCAATTTTTTCTCCATTATAACTTTCTTTTAAAAGGCATTGAGTAGGTAATACTGAGTTTGAGTATTTAATAAATACAAGTTGAGAAACTGATTAAAGAAATCAATTAAAATATTAAAAATTAATCTTGCATAATTAGCCATCAATAAGAACTTAAAAAGCTATAAAAGGACTGATTGATAAAGAACAGATTTTAAACATATGGTAAACGTGCTAAGCATTCCCGTTTAAGGTCGATGGATCTTGAAGGCCAAAGACCTTATGCACTTAATTGGATGTATGGCAACATGCTGTAATAGAGACAGGTTTACCAAGGCTCAGTTCTGCAACCCAGGTTGTAAAGTTCTCCAAAGCAGCATATGTGCAAATTTCCTCTGAGTTTTATCTGCAATTAAGACAAAAATGCCATAAAAATATAGAAACATGGATTACAGTTTAAATTAACATGATTGACAGCAGATCTATATATATACGGAAGTGGTAGCAGAATAAGAATTTAGGGTGGAATTTCACTGTGTTCCCCAACAGTTTAAGTAAAAAAGTAATTTTCTGTGGTCCTGAAAAGCCACTAAAAATTAGACACGCAGTAATGAGGCTTTGCATATAGTATCATACAGTGTGTGTGCGTGTGCCTGTGTGTGTAACTACTCTGGTTTTTCATAATATTATTATACTTTACATTTCTATTATGCTTTATACAATAACAAAAATGTCCTTAATGGTTCAGAAGATCCTACAGCATAAAAATTGTGGCAAATGTTACTTCTACTTTGAACTTGATCTTTCCTTATTTTTAACTGGAAATGATATTAGAATTAAATGCATATTAATTATGAGCTAACTCGACAATATGCTAGACTTTTTCAAAATTTAAGTTTTTGAAAATGTAAAATAAGAAAATATGATTCACTTCTGGATCCAGATATTGAGCACTGACTTGATGCCCCGGCTTGGGCTAAAGGCTTGGTGACAGCAGCAGTTCACATTTCCCACTGTGGTCTGCTCTCTTTTTGTACATCTTCCCAACCACAGGAACTTCTATGCCTGGGATTCCTCAGTCTCTGCTCTTTACAGCTGATAGATTTGCTCCCTTCTACTTAATACTGGAAGGGGAGTATCCGTCATTCACACAACACCCTCCACCTGTGCTGGATCACCAGTCGCTTCTATTGGAGATTACATTTACAGTACTTGCTTTTTAATGTAAAAGATTTTAAAAAATCAAATAAAGCCAGAAACAAAGCGTAGAATAACAACTATGAAAGAATGCCAAGTGAAACCAATTAAGGTAATTCTAAGGACTCTGTACCAATGTTTATAAATGTATAATTTTAATTTCATCTGACAGCTACATTTCTATTAGGGTTCAAAGAACCTAAGAAAACATTTTATTAGCAGCTATGTCATTAAAATGATTGCTTTCCAAAAAAGTCCCTCCTCTCATTATTATTGAAATCCTGTCACCTAAACACATTAGGAAAAATGGAACAAAATTTTGCTTTCTTTAGAAATTATTATGGAAATATTTTTCTTCCAATTACGACTTTTTTTCCTTTTTGCATTAAAGGAAATTGTTAATTAGAACGTGGGATATGTAAGCTTGGGGAAGTTCAGTTTCCTTATTGTTAAAATGGGGATAAAAAGACTTTCCTTACAAGACTGCTGTAAATATCACATAAGATAATACGTCAAAATACCTTACAAAGTATAAGGGCCACACAAATGTCAGGTATTGTTTCCATTTCTCAACCATGTTATACATTTCTAGAGGATCAGGCTTGTGTCTTTGATATCCAGACTAAGGACTTTTATATTTTTTAGCTTAGTGTGAATTTCTGTACCTACCTGTATACAGCATTATTTCACTATACATACACTATTCATTGTGAAGACTTTTCAGTAATTCAGACTAGACTTCCCTCAATTAATTTAATTAATAATAGTGCTATAAATTTTAATCCACGTTTTTCAAAATAAACAATTACGAACAGTTTGGGATTTTCAAATATGTTTATGTCTCTTAAATAATGAAGACTTGTAATGTGCAATGATTTAATATTTTTAGGTATGTTCTGACATCACAATGAGAAAGTAAAGTTGTTCTGATTTATTTCTAGCCAAAATAAACACTGAGAAGACAAACCAGCGCGCTGACCATAATCTGTCTGAAATAAAAGGTGATACATTCATTAGTTTCTACCCTCCAAAAACCTGCTTAATATTTAGTCAATCCACATTCCACAGGATGACAATATTGCAGTGAAGTCAAGAGACTTGGATAAACCCTGGGTCAGACTTAACAGTATTAATATTAGTCATATCTTTAAACAAACAAAGTATTGATACCGACTACTTTGCAAGATAGTAATATAAATTCTCTGTAGTAATAAATCCTGAAGCAAAAGCTTGCATTAAGCATAAGCAACCATCTCTCTTCAGATCAGAATTTCGTAGAAAGTGAAACGTAAATGTTATTGCTCCACACTGTGACAGCAAAAATGTTCAGTGCACTAACACTCAATTCATTTACAAAATATCCCAGAAGTTGTAAAAGCAGCTGTTAAACTAGTACTTTCAAAGTCCCAGGATATCACATACAGACACACCTTGCAAACATATAGCTTGCTCCTTTCGAGTCAGGACACAAGTTATCTTTGTTCTCACTCTCAAGTTTCCAGCAAGACACCCAACAAATCTTAACTCTGGAAGCTTCTACCCAAACTCTTGCTTAATTGTTTGGGTTTACATTTTCAGTCTTTGTGAACAAGACTTTATTATGGGAGA